TTTCCCTCCATATATAAACCTTTCCTTGACCCTCCACAACAGTGAACTAATACTATATTTGTCCTTCAGTGATTGACTTATTTCACTCAGCATAATGTCCTCCAAGTTCATCCATATTATGCAGTATTTTGCAGACTCTACATTATTCTTTAGCACTGCACAGCATTCCATTATGTGTATGTACCATAGTTTGGTCATCCACTCTTCTGCTGATGGGCACGTAGGTAGTTTCCATCTTTTTGCTATTGTAAATAGTGCTGCAATGAACATGAGTGTGCATATATCTGTTCCTGTCCTGGATCTCACGTCTCTAGGATATATAACTAGTAACGGGATTGCTGGGTCAAATGGTAGCTCCAATTCCAGCTTTCTGAGGAATCGGCATACTGCTTTCCACAGTGGTTGTATCACTTCACAGTCCCACCAGCACTGTATGAGAGTCCTAATCTCTCCACAACCCTACCAGCATTTGTTATTTTCTGTCTTGTTGAACCTTGCCATCAGTGCTAGGGTGAGATGGTAGCTCACTTGTTTTGATTTACATCTCTCTGATGGCCATTGATTGTGAGCATCTCTTCATGTGTTAGCTTGCCCCTGAATATCCTCCTTGGTGAAGTGTTTATTCATGTTTTCTGCCCATTTTTCAATTGGATTGTTAATTCCTTTGACGTTGTAGAGTTGGAATTTTCTATAAATCTTAGAGATAAGTCCCTTGCCAGATATGTAATTATCGGCAAATGTGAATTTGTTGCTGTCATTTTTGTTATGTGCTTTTTCATAGTGTCGATTTCTTTGTTCCATATAATTTTCTATGCTGAGCTCTTTTTGTTTATGAATTGTGCTATCATTTCCTTTGTTGCTATTGTTTTAGTATTTGCTAAATATTTGTGTTGGTCCTCTTTTTTATTTTGATGTAAAGGTTTATCATTTTTCTTTGAGGTTACCCGATGATTTATAGTTTTCTTCCCAAGTTTAGAACAGTCCGTTCTATCTTGTAGTTGTCTTGACATCCCTACCATCTAGAAGTTCTGTAACAACACAATTTTTTTCCCTCTTTTTGGTTTGTAGTTGTCCTCATTTGTCAATTGATGTCTCTGGTTCCCTGTTTACAATCTTGTAGGCTTATTTACTTTGG